AGTTGGTTTCGACTCATAATGACTCATACAACACAGAATGAAGTACTGCCGTATCCTTCCTGCACCTTCCTCACATGTGTTACATTTGAATCTGTGCCACAAATATCTCACTGAGGGTCTTCAAAATAAGCCACCAGCAAGCTCTACAACAAGGCCAACCCTCCTTCCTCCAGGGTCAATGCAGCAACAGCAGTGTGGCAATGCCTGCCCTCTATGTTGAGGCAAGGAGCTATCTAAAAGTCCAATTGCTCTTCTTGAGCACCTACCGTGTGCCAGACATTATTCTAGTTGCTAGGATTCATGGTGACAGATCCTATCCCTCAAGGGACTTTCATATCAGTGAAAAAAAAGCCCTGAAAAATTAGATAAATAAATCATATCAGATTCTTGTGTTAGGGATAAAATAAAATTGGATAGTATGATAAAAGACAAATGTACTGGCTACTGAAGAGGGGGCAAAGTAGTGAAGGTTTTTAGCAAAGCTCGTCAGTGGATCCATAAGGAAGAGAAATTAAACAGCCACAAAGTCCACCTAAAATAGTTTGAATGCTGGAATGACAACTAATGAAACAATGAAATAGCAATGGAATAGCATGAAATATCACAGTTGAGGGAGCTCGGGTGGCTAAGGGGTAAGGAAATGCCTTGCCAACAAGATGGGCAATCTCCTTCCATATGATTTGCTGCCTCTGAAAACCCTCTGGAGGGTTAGCTATGGATCACTTCCTGACTTATACACAGCAACAACGTATTACAATTATGGGCCAAGCAACCTATTAATTCAGTCTGGGTTAAGGAATGTACGTGCACATGCAAAAAAAAAAAAAAAAAAAAAGAATGGGGCATTTATCTTGGGTTAACTGGGTTTTCCAAGATGATTATAGAGAGCTTTTAAAATGTAGAAGCAACCTAAGTGTTCATCAATGAATGAATGGATAGACAAACTGTGGTACATTAACACAGTGAAGTACTATGCAACATTGTAAAGCAATGAAGAATTCATGAAATACTATACAACATGAATAAGTCTATTGTACACTATGCTGACCGAAATAAATAATTTGCAAAAGGACAAATACATATACAACGACTGTTGAGAAAGGTTTAAATACAGAGAGAATCATTCTAGTATGGTGACCAGGGAGAGAGGAGGGGTGGGAGTAGCATATTAATTGATTGATAGACAATGAACACTTATTGGAATAAGTGAAGGGAAGGACAATGTGGAATGAATAGATGATCAGACAGTTATGATCAGACTATAATTGGTGTTGTGGAATAAAATGTGCATGAATGATTGAAAGAAAATAATATGTAAACTTTCATTGACATGACAATTAAAAATGAAAAGTCAGGAGAGATACGATGACAGAAACAGAGGTTGGAAGCATATGGCCTGGAGTCAAGGAACGTGGGCAGCCTCTGGAAGGTAGAAAAGGAAACAGATTGGCCTTGAAAGCCTCCAGAAAGAGCAAATGCCACCTTGATTTTAGCCCAGTGAAACGGATTTCTGACTTCTGACCTCCAGACGGTAATAGAATAAATTTGTGTTGCCTTAAGCCACTACATTTGTGGTGATTTGTGACAGCAACAGAGGAAACTAAAACACTGCCCAAGGTCAGAGAACTTCAAAGTGGCAGGGCCAGGATTAAAATCAAGGTAACTTGGTGCCTGCCCTTGCCAGAGATTTAACCACTGTGCAACAGAACATCTCACAGGCAGTACAAAATTTCAGGTGGAATGCAAAATAGGCAGCCTCCAGGAGTTCCCTTCTCTCTGGGGCTGGGAATCCTAGGTCACAGAGAAAGTAAAAGAAAGGAAAAAAAGGGGGGAGGATCCTATAGCACCATCCAATCTCCTCTCTGCAACTTCAGTCTTAGACCCAAGAGAGTACTGCTATCAACCTTAAATTCTGCAGATAAGGAAGCTGAGGACCAGAAGTCTGTGACTTTTCAGTTATTCAGCTGTTTAATGAGAGAGCACAAGAGGCAAGTAGGGTGACCCAGTGAGCTTAGTGGCTTTTGATGGCTCAGGGAAGGAGACTGTGTGGCCTGTGAGGATCAAAGAATTGAAGCTTCCAGATATTTCTCTTTCTCATTTCAGTTCCATCTCACGTGAACCCTATAGAGCACAGGAGAACTACCCAGAGACTTTCCAAGGTTATGCACTTTTACAAAACTGGTGGCTCAGTGGTTAAAGCACGTTCTGCTAAACAAATAGAGTTGGAGTCTGAGCCCAGCAGCCCTACAGGGGAGAAAGTGATGGAAGTCAGCTTCCTTAAAAAAAAAAAGAAAATCGGATATATTTCCTCCAAATTAAAAAAGTAAACTCAACTCTTACTCTCTTAATGTAGCCTAGAGACAAGAATGTTTCTGTAGGAAACTAGATTTGAGTTTCAAATGAGGTCAACTAATCTGAAACCCAACCCCATATAAAATTCTCTAACTGGGTAAGCAGATAACTATTTACTCTATTAATGTCATTTGTTTTGGGTTTGTTTTTTTTAAAAAAAAACTTTATTTTCTGGGCCTCTCTTAATGGAAGTATTTTTATTTTGTACAGTTCAACTGGATAGCAGAACATTGAACAAAATCAATAAAGAGAATATTTTTTATAAGAAAAAAAGATCTATGATAGGGAGCTCTGGTGGGCTCATGGCAAAAAGCTGCATTGCAATCTCGAAAGGGCACTCTTTGAATCCACCAGATGCTCTGCTGGAGGAGGGGCAACTTCCTCCTGTGCCAGTTGGATCTGATTTGATGGCAAGCAACAAGGGGGGGGGGAATCTATGGTACATTCACACAATGGAATACTAGAAGCAGGCAGAAGTAACGATTTTTGTAAATCACTACTTACTTTGGAAGGAAATAAAGAGCATTATGCTAAGTGAACTAACTCAGTCCCATACGGACAAAATGTGTATGAGGATGTAAGGAGGGGAGGGGAGGACTAGAGGGGTGAGGATAGGCAGGTGGTAATCATGGGGTTGCACGGTTTGATGTTGGGTTGCGGAAGGCGGGAGATCTGGTGTGAGGGGCAAGGTACATGAACTTTGTAGGTAAACCAGTGTAAAATTTCAAAAAAATTATTGCAAATTTTTAAAAATGAAAAAGAAAAAAATAAATTATGGCATTCTAAAAAAAAAAAATCTGCAGAATTGGAAACCCAGTGGGGCAGTTTTACTCTGCCTATAGGGTTGCTATGCGTTAAAAAGACTAAAGGGTCATCATAACAAGATAAAAGTAAACAATCCAATTGAAAAATGGGCACAGGATATGAACAGACACCTCACAAAACAAGACATTCAGATGGCCAACAAGCATATGAAGAAATGTTGAAAATCCCCAGATCTAAGAGAGATGCAAATCAAAACAATTATGAGATATCATCTCACACCAATAAGAACAGCAAAATTTAATGGAACAGCAAACAACAAATGCTGGCTAGGTTGTGGAGAAACTGGAACCCTTATTCACTGTTGGTGGGAGTGTAAAGTGGTGCAACCACTGTGGAAGGCTGTATGGTGCTTTCTCAAAAAGTTGCAAATTAGGGGAGCTCTGGTGGCCTAGTGGTAAGGAGCTGCAACTACAATCCCAGAGGTGCACGGTTTGAATCCACCAGATGCTCTGCCGGGGAAGGAGGGACAATCTCCTCCTGTACCAGTCAGATATGATTTGACGGTACACGCACACAAAAATAATAAAACAAAAAAGTTGCAAATCGAGATACCATTTGACCCAACAATTCCATTACTGAATATACCCTCAAGAAACCATAACCGCCACCTAAGCAGATATATGCATACCCATGTTTATTGCGGCTTTGTTCACAATAGCAAGGAGTTGGAAACAACCTAAGTGCCCATCAACAAACGAATGGATAGAGAAGCTGTGGTATATTCACACAATGGAACACTGTGCTGCATTGAAAAACAAGGAACTCATGCAATATTATTCAAAATGGGTGACCCTGGAGGACATTATGCTGAGTGAAATATCTCAGTCACAAAAGGACAAATACTGCATAGTGCCACTGCTGTAGAATGGGACAGACATCGGGGATGGGGGGGAGACTGAGAAAGATGGGATAAACAATGTATACTGCATTGAAACAGATGAGGGAGAAAACTGTTTAATAGGGATATGTGATTACGAATTATTGTCATGACAGGAGTCCAGAAGGAAGGCTGTATAGTGGAGTGGACCTGGGGGGCAGAGGGGGAGATTGTATAACAATAAAAGAATTTTTCTTTTACTTTTCAAAGAGAAGAGCGAACTGGGGGGGGAGAGGTGGACAGGGAGAAAAGTTTAACAATAAATGGAAATCCAAAGTCTGTAAATTTTCATTAAAATTAATAATTAAAAAAGTTAAATTTAAAAGAAGACTAAGAGGTTAAATCTACAGACACAGACTTTCCCGTCTTTTTCTGGTGTAGACCCTGGTGGATTCCAACTGACCTAGTGTGTAACCACTGCGCCACCAGCACACCTGATGTTACTGATAATATAGTCGCTATTTTCGAAGGTGCCTGAAAACGAAACTTTGCTATCCATACAAAAATATATAAGGGAAAAGCTGTGATCATTTGAGGAAAGTTTACAAAGTTTGCATAGAAATACATCTCTCCACCCTTTTAGGTACCTCATCCTCCTGATAAAGGAGCAAATTTTACCCCAAGATGTAACAGAGTTTCAACAGCGCTCCCAACTCTCTGCTCCTGGCGCTCTGCTCCGTTCATGCCAAGGTTGGGGCAGGAGTCACGAGAGGGCAGAGAAGTGGCTGGGAGTTCTCCGCCTCCTTTTTCTTCAGTTCCCAGGCATGAAGAAGCATCTACCCCCTGAGGACCGAGGTCAGGGGCATCCATACTGGAGCGCTGCGTCCTGGCCTCCTCCACTCCCTTCCCCGGGCGGAGGAAGCCAACGCGCGTGCATGCGCGCTCGGTATAAATAGGTCCCAGGCGGCAGCCACAGGGCAGAGCAGGGCTGCCGGCGCCGCGGGCTATGGCGGGCGAGGACCACCAGTGGCAGGGCAGCATCCTCTACAACATGCTCATGAGCGCCAAGCAAACCCGCCAGGCTCCGGAGGCGCCCGAGGCGCCGCTGCGCGGCTCGTGCTGGGGCTGCTCGTGCGGCTCAGCGCAGCCAGGGGACAGAGAAAGCCTGCAGGGCGGGCGGGCCGTGGCGCACATGTACCGCTGCTGCTTCTGCGGCGAAGACCACCCGCGCCAGGGCAGCATCCTCTACAGCTTGCTCACTGGCGCCAAGCAAACGCACGTGGCTCCGGACGCGCCCGAGGCACCGTGTGTCCCGCAGAGGCTAGGGGGCACGGACGGGCTGCAGGGAGACCAGACCTTGGAGCTCTTGTACCGCTGGTACTTGGGCAGTGACGACTCACTGCGCCAGGGCAACAAGCTCAACCACCTGGCCTTGGGCGCCAAGCAAACGAATGTGGCTCTGGAGGCGCCTGAGGTGCAACTCGGGACCCCATTGTGGGGCCCCTTGTGTGATGGGCAGAGGCCTGTGGCCCTCCAGAACCCCCAGGTGGTGTGTGAGGCTGCCTCAGCCTGCCTGCTGAAGACGATGCACTTCGTCAAGAACTTGCCCTGCTTCCAAGTGTTGCCTCTGGACCAGCAGCTGGTGCTGGTGCGAAGCAGCTGGGGGTCACTGCTGCTGCTGCAGCTGGCCCAGGACCATATACACTTCCAGACGGTGGAGGCCTCCGAGCCCAGCGTGTTGCAGAAGATACTCACCACCAGGCGGCGGGAGAGCGCAAGCGAAGAGTCAGCGCCTCAGCCCACGCCGCAGACCCTGTTGGCACAGCTGCCCACGGCCACCGAAGTCCAAGCCATCAAGGCTTTCCTGGCCAAGTGCTGGAGCCTGGCTATGAGTACCAAGGAGTACGCCTTTCTCAAGGGGACCGTGCTTTTTAACCCGGGTAAGGCATATCAGCCAGGCTCAGTGACTTCTCCCCAGCTCAGAAGACCCTCCGGAAGTGCCTGTGCACGTGCGGGTAGGGGGCAGGTTCTACTGAGTTTTCACTGGTCCGGAGAGTGTGGGTCGCAGGTGATAAAAATCAGAATCAGTTTCTCAAACTTGGAGGGCCTGCAAGAATCGTTCCTGGGTGAGTTGCTGCCAAAAACTTGAGGGGAAGAGAGGTTTGTACTAGTTGTTTAAAAAAAAAGAAAAGTAAAAGTTGATGCCTTAAAGGGCCAAGATAGTTGCTATCTCTAGTTGTCTTTTCCACCCAGAAGCACAGCTTTTTGAAACTTTTACTCCCTGCACATTGTGCAGCTCATTCTGCAGCCCACTTCTCCCGCTTCTGCAGTTTGTGGAAACTTCTTTGTTGGAGAAAAAACATACAAAGGCTGGCAAGAAAGGAAAATTTAGGGGTCCACAGGGTTTGATGTCTGAGGAGTGTGCCCTAGAGTTGTCATTTTTCGGGTCAAAATCATTCAGACTATCCCTTCCTCTAAGTCAGTATTAGGCTAGCAAAGGGCCAGGAAAGAGAGATGCTGGTGACAAGAGCACTGCTTTTTAGATTTAGAGACCTCATCAGGCTATTTGACCCCGCACTCTCCATCTCATTTTACAGATTTGATAGCCAAGTCCCAGGAGAGTTTACTTTACAATAGGCACGTAAGCAGTCAAGCTGTGTTATAAACGCAGATTCACCTGCTTTCCACGGTGAACTCTTATCTACCTGGCTTTTCTCTTTCGTGAGTACTTTGAGGGTAAACCTGCTTTCAGGGAAACACTTCCTGAGGAGTGAAAAGGAGGTGTGGCATAAAAGCAGGGAAAAGTAAGGTAGAGCTCACACTATGAAGGTTTAGGGAGCACAGATCTAGACCTAGAGGAGCTTCAGGTTGCTGGAAGAATTTCACGCAAGCTGCTGCTTACTTAATAGATGGAATTTAAGCATAATCAAATCAAGTCTCCAGCTGTGGGTAGTAGTAGACATGAATGCACAGACTGGAGTAATCAGAATAAGAACTTGCATTCCAAGTGTTGCTTTGTTTTGTTTTTATTTCAGTTACCAAACCTGTTATTTGCCTGTAATAGGAGTGACTCTCACCCTTTGCTATCATTATATTTAAAGAATATTGACTGATTATTTAATGATTGTTGATTAGCACATGGCTTTTAAAAATACTCTTTTGTTGAAGTTTGTAGAAAAAAATCATTAACATCACCACTGACCTCAGTTGAATCGAAAGAGGTAACAGGTACTTCTTTAAATACAAGAACTTTATAGCAATATTACTATATTGGGGGGGGGAGCAAAGAACTTTTGAATTAAGACTCTTCTTACCACATTCTTTATAAAATTTGTATGCACTTAATTTGTCTTATATTGTATTCATTTAATTTCACTTAGCTATCACATTGTGGAACAAGAGAGTAATGCATTTTTGTAGGGGAAAAGTTACTTTTGAACTGTTTCAATCAGATGACGTTTTCATGTTTACTTTTCAGCCTTTAAACAGCCTTATCTTTTCAAAGGCCTCTTACTTTAAAAGAACATATTTAAATATGTTAAATTTGAAATGTTCCCTAGAGCCAGTGTGTGTGTCTGTGTCTCCAACACAAGAATCATGGTACACTGAGCTACGAGTCAAGAATTAACTTTTCAGTTATTATGATCTTCAAGATTAAAATAAGCATGCAGGTACATTTTAATAACAATGGGACCTGTGAGTTGTAGTTTATGGCTATGAAGTTTACCATCTTACTGGATAATTATTATGATGGTAGGCAGTTGGAGGAAGGGTAGTCAAATATTTGTCATCTGGCAAAGCTGTTTGCCCATGAACAGAGGCCCGTTTCTCAGAGGTAAAAGGAAGTGTTTCCTCTGAAAATAATAATAATTTCTTCTTATTCACATAGGTGGTGAACTGGAGCAATAATGGCAAACTTGTAAGGCATTAAATACTATAATAAGCATTTGATATCAGGCATTAAACATTACTGCATTTATGTTAAATTACGTGTGCAGTTGTTGGCTCACTGCCAATGTGGGTTGTTTTAAATGGGAGTGTGCAAACATAAAACAAAACCAAAAATTCCCCAGTTGCTCTCTGATCGAATCTGAGACATAGTGATCTATGTACATCAGAACAGTAGTTAACCGTAAATAAAAAGAATTACCCCATGTTTCATTTTTGAAAGCATTGTATCTGAAAAAAGTGGGATGGGTTTGGCATCTTCTCCCTACTCTTAAAAATCCCCTTAAACCAAGAAGCCTGAGCACTTGTTTAAGGTTGAGCCATTTGTAACTTAATTCCCCCTCCCCCCTTTTCTCCTCCAGACCTCCCCGGCCTGCACTGTGTGAGGTACATCCAGGGACTTCAGTGGGGGACTCAGCAGATCCTCCAAGAGCACATCAGGATGGTGCACAGAGGGCGGCGGCAGCAAGCCAGAGCGGTGGAACTGAATGGCGTTCTTTCCCTGCTGAGATTCGTCAACACCAGTGTCATTTCTGAACTCTTCTTCAGGCCCATCATTGGTACAGTGAGCATGGATGACATGATGCTGGAAATGCTCTGTACCAATTTATAGAAGCCTGTGGGCCATCTGAGCACAGTGTGAGAAAGATAAGGCAGACAAGTAAAAAAAAGTTCTATAATAAACTTTCTTACTCTTTTTACATGCATTGTCTTTTTCTATTCAATTAAAGGGGGAAACATCCTTTTGTGACATGTTGTTTGTTGTTATGTGCCATCAGTGACTCTATGTACAACAGCCCTGAACTCTACTCTATCCTGTGCCATTCGCACTGTCTCTGACACTCCCATCCCGATTATCCCAGTCACTGAATCAATCCACCTCATAGAGGGCCTTCCCCTCCTGCGCTGTCCCTCCACCCTCCCAAGCATGACGTCCCTCTCCAAGGACCCGTCCCTCCTGGCAACATGTCCGAAGTATGTGACATAGGATTGAAAAAATCTTGTGTTCCATACTGCTTTGTTGCGAATAATATTTGCAAACATACCCCACCCCTATACATATTTACAAGAGCAGGGCACTGCATTAACAAGCTATTTTTAAAAACATTTATTTTATATTGGTTTGAATAAAAAAATCTGTATACATTGTGTTTCATACAATCATTCCTATCTGTTGGGTTTTATAAAATTAATCACCATTGATCTATGCTCATCATTCCCCTTTTCAGGTCCCCACTGATCTTTCCTAATTCCTTCACTCCCTCCCTTCACCTATCAAATGCTGTGACTTCATGATATCCTCTTTGCCCAACTTCAGTTTTCCCATTCTCTCTCCTTGCCCTATTAGACTTTCATACATATATTACTAGTTATTCTTTTATTTTTACAGTAATGGTGTGGTACAGTGTTTGTGAGACTGAGCTCACTTAGAATAATGCTCTCAGCCTCTCCCATGTTATGTGACATTTTTTGAAATCATTGTTCCTGAGTGCTGCATAGTATTCCATCATGTGAATGTACCACATTTTTCAATCCATTTGTTAATGGATGTTTCCATATTCTTGTAACAAGCTATTTTTACAAGTTTGTTCACTCTCTGAAGGTGAATGCAGTTTGCTTTGGCTACTAACCTAAAGGTTGGCAGTTTGAACCTACCCCACAGTGCCACGGAAGAAAGGCCTGGCAGTCTGCTTCCCTAAAGATGACAGCCAACTCAACCCTGTGGAGCAATTCTGCTCTGTAACACGTGAGGTCACCATGAGTTAGAAAACAGAATTCATAAATTTTAAGTTAAAATGCATTTTAACATGTCAACCACAAGCTTGATTGAAAAGACTTCTGTCAGAGCTTAAAGAAGGCTTTAAAATGGAATAAACTTTGATTAGCATAAAGAAAATGGAAGTTCTTTGTAGACAGCATCCTAAGACTTAAGTTGTAATAGACTGGTGTCAGTGGGGGAAAAGTTCTGTCATCTCTAATTCCATTAGCTTTGTGGAGGAGTCTCTACACCCTAGTAACAATCTGACTACCAATCAAGTAACAATCTCTAGTCCTTACAGCAACAGTCTGTGAAGGATAAGATTTTTCAGAATATTAACATGCAGCAATGTTCCTGTACATGGCTAAGGATTTGAAACAGGGGCAGTTCAACAGGAAACTTACATGCTATAAACCACCAGTTGCAAGCAAGTCAATCCTGACTCAAGGCAACTCCATGTGTGTTGGGGTAGAATTGTGCTCCACAGATTGTTCAACGGCCGAGTTTCCAAAAGAAGATTGCCAAACTTTTCTCCCAAGGTGCCGCAGAGTGGACTCAAGCCTTTGACCTTTTGGTTAGTAGCCATGTACTGTTTGCAATATCCAATGACCCCTAAAGACTATAAAGAAGGATTATAATCCCAAACAACAGTATTCTAAACCTTAGTTATGTCTTACCTTTTAGATTAATTTTCTACAAAACTATCACACTGAATTAATCATAAACCCTAAATCATAAAGCGATATTATTATTGGTTCCTATTGTCCCTTCAAATGCAATCTGTAGAATTAGTTCTTCCTTGTCCTGGGATGAAGTTTAAGGGCACTAAATATACATCCACCTATGAATAACAGAGGGAGCTCTGGTGGCTTAGTGGTAAGGAGCTGCACTGCCAACCCAAAGGCTTGAGGTTTGAATCCACCAGCTGCTCCACTGGAAAAGGATGGGCAATTTCCTCTCATGCTATTTACTGCTTCTGAAAACCCACTAGAGGGTCAGCTAAGAGTTGACGATCAGAGAAAGACCCTCAACAATATGAACTGGAACAGTGACTGTCACCAAGGGCTCAATCAAGTACATTAAAGATGGTGGGGGTGGCACAGAATCAGACAAGGTTCAGATCCGTTCTTCAGAGATTCACTGTGAGTCATAGATGACTTGATGGTGCTTAACAGCAACAACATGAGTAAGAAAATGCTTATTATTAACATATTCAGTTCACTGCAAAGGTTATTAAATATTTTTTGTATGATATAGACATCTTTGATTCTGCAGAAGAAAGATGTGGCAATCAAGCTTCCAAAAAGGTTTCTAGCCTCAGGGAGGCTATGTTCTGTCCTGTAGGGTCACTATGGTTTGGAATAAACTCGACTACAGTGAGTTTTATTATTATTTTATTTTTAAGCATTTTAGGGGTTCTGGATTTGCCAATTAAAACAAATACCATTATCCCAAAGGTTTATCTTCGAAAGCCAGTCTCTTTTAGTTTCTGTGTGGACCTTTTTAACTGGGTCCAAGGCAATCAGTTCAGACACTGCACAATCATGGCCAGGAAGGAGTCACTGACCTAAATGCCTTCTAGGGCTGAGGCTGTGTCTTGATGTTGTTGCCGTTAGTTGCCATCTAGTTATTTCCAACGCCTGGTAACCCTATGTGTGCACAGTTGTTGTTGCATCGAGTCAGAACCAATCCACAGCTGACCCTCCAGCGGGTTTTCAGAAGTAGTAATTGCACGGGAGGAGATTGCCCATCTTTCTCCTGCAGAGCAGCTGGTAGAATCGAACCGCAGGCCTTTGGGATTGCAGCACAGATTCTTACCACTAGGCCACCAAAGTCCCCTATTCAATAGGGTTTTCAAGGCTGTGACCTTTTAGAAGCAGATCACCAGTACTGTCATACCCTCTCCCCCGCTCCCTAGACATCTTTTTTATTATTTTTAACTGTAATCTGAGTGAAGGTTTACAAAGCACATTGTTTTTCAGTCACTCATGAACTTTATTCCCTAACATTGATTATAATACTCATAGTATTTGATTGTCCGTTCATTCCATATTGCTTCTCCCTTCACCTATATTAATGAATTCATTTTCTACTCCCTGCTCCCATCCATGGTAACCACACTAGTATGATTCTCTGTGTAAGCTTTCTTTAGCTTTTTGTAATAGTGGCCTTATACAATGTTTGTCCTTTTGTGACTAATTTCATTCAGCATAATGTCCTTTACATCCATCCATGTTATGCAAAATTTCCCCAATTTTTCTTTATTTCCCAATGTTGCATAGTGTTCCATTGTATGAAAGTATAATAGCTTCTCTCTGGGCAGTTTGAAACCTCTAGTCTCAGTGTATACTTATAAGAGGTGCAATCACAGAGGCCACATGGGCTCACCCTCTCTGGCAACGAAGAGTTTATTTACAATGTTATGATACTCCAAGCAGGAATGCATTCATCAACCAATCGGGTTAACAGGGCTACCAACGTGGCCTTGTCGGTGGGACATTTGGTCCTCAGGCTCCCAGTTCAACCTGGCTAATTCGGTTGAGTCCTTGGTTTTAGAAGGACTGCCTGAGTCAGTCAGTTCCAGCCAGGCTTGCTTGTCCATGACCTCAGTTTATCTACCTCAAGGTGGTGTTACAGGAGAAATAGCGAGAGCTGGGCTACCCCCTGCCATCTTACTGCCAGCATTTCCAGGTTTGATTTAGGCTCAGCAGTCAGTTTGAATTCAAAGCATGGGTAGCCTCTTGGAAAAGCAGCATGGGGAAGTTTTCCCAGCAAAGAAGCAGATCTGAAAAACCCCCACCTCCCTCCCTCGAGCCTCTCTAGGTTCCTGGGTATCGGATTTTCTCCCCTGTAACAAAATCAGTGTGTCTCTGTCAGTAGTTGTGATTCCACATTCCTTCCTCGTCATTGCTGTTGTTTATTTTCCCTCTCCAGATCTTGTGTTTGTACAAAACCTTTTTCTTTTTTTTTACTGAACATTTTTTAAAATTGTGATTTAAATGAAAGTTTACAGAAAAGTTGGATTTTCATTCATTCACTGTTGCACATTTTCTTCCCTAACAATCTCCCCAGTTCACTAAAAAAAAAATAAAATAAAATAAAGGTTTGTTGTTTCATAATTTCATCCGTTAATGCTCTCCAGTACACTTTGCTATGCACCTCTTTCTTATTCTGGACTGTTGTCATACAAATAAAACCTAATTGTATATTCCTTTTATACAATTCTTTTCTTCATCTGTTCCAATACAGTGTTTATTATTTATACCCTCTTTTCTTAGTGTATCCCCAACCCCCATATCAGTCCTGTCTCGTAACAGTGGTGATAAACAGTATTTATCCTTTTGTTACTGAGATATTTCACTTAGCATAATGTCCTCCAAGGTCACCCATATTGTGTAATATTTTATGAATTCCTTGTTTGTCATAGCTGCATAGTATTCCATTGTGTGGATATACCATTTTTTCCCTATCCGTTTATTTGTTGATGGGCTCTTGGGTTGCTTACATCTCTTTGCTATTGTGAATAATGCAGCAATGAACATGGGTGTGCATATATCTATTTGGGTGGCAGCTCTGAAAGCCACAGACTGGAAAAGATCTCTGATAAGGGACTCATATCCAAAATGTATAGAATACTCCAGCACTTCAATGAGGAAAAGCTAAACAACCCAATCACAAAATGGGCACAGGATATGGATAGACACTTCACCAAAGGAGACATTCAGATGGCAAACACGTGAAGAAATATTCAAAATTCCCAGCTCTCAGAGACATTAAAAAAAAACAAAGCCAACAACCAAAAAACAACTATGACATATCATTTCAGCCCAGTAACAACAGCAAAATTCAACAGA